GAATGGGAATGCATTATCGACAAATTAGGTTAACATCGGGCATCAAGTGATAGAGGTAGATATTTACTATACGTTAAAGTATTATGACTTTGTTACACCAAAGCCCAAACTGTGCGACAAATCGAAATAAATATCAAATGTGATTGGGTGTATTACAGTGCTGTATTAATAATAATTCTCTCCCGTATAACATAAATTCCTGATTAGTGAATCTAATAATTTATATATTGTTTGTTGACGTGAATCAACAATAGATTAGAAATGCAACGTAATATTAAGCTCTGTAAAAGAAGTAAGGCGTCAATAATTTAATTTGCACCTTTGCAGAGGAATATTGTTACTTTGTGGCGGTTGAATAAATGGTAGAACGACAAATAATAAATGCGAGGATGGAAGGCTTGTATTGGTCTAATTAACGATCTAGCCATATATTCTTGCTAGATTCTAACAGATACAAAAAATTTAAATTCCACGTTGCAATGTTATCGCTCGAATTGCCAAACACAACGTGCATATTATTAATGTTTTGGATTAGATATTTCTAAGCTTAGTCGACAAACGACCGATGAACTTTTACATTAATATCACAAACGTTTTTGTTTTCTAGCAGAGTTTTACGAAACACACCGTCTGGCCGGACGTTCATACTTTGCATCACGGACGAATTTATTTCGTGTTCTTAAATTCTGTTCTACTAGATTGAGTTTGCGTACAAATTGTTTGCGCAAAATCATACATTGATAAATTTACACAATAACATAATGCCCTCCTCTTGGTAATTGGATATAATCTGATCCACACATGAACATTGCTCATATGGCACTACTTAGCAATTAATAAGGTTGTCTATAAAATCAAAAAGTTTGTTGCCATCAACTATTAAAATTACTCTCTCATCATCATCTACGCTTTACTTAATGATGCATCTTTAAAGTCGCCCGGTGTCCTACTGCTCCACCATCCGAGCTACCGAAATTTCAAGTATGATAACCTTGTCTCCATATTGATAAGACTTACTTTAGAAACAAGCTCTATTAGTTCCATAACGCGTGTTACAGAAGCAAATGTTTCTAAGCTAATCCGGCGGAACAAAATCCTTTTCACGTTCTGCTTTACGCTTAAGCGTAGTTTCTAGCTGTTTCTCCTAAAAACGATGGGACACAGACATTAGCGACTTGATATCATTTTATTAACTCTGATTATAAAACGCTAGACTTACCTTTTTCAATTGCATGGCCTTAGCGACCTTCTCACGCGGCTTCAAGAAATATTCGCCCGACTCCAACTGCAAATCAATCTTACGAGGCTGCTGAGGAGGTGGGAACGGTGTGTATTCCTTCTTTTTCTTCTCGTCTCCTGTTTTGCTCGTCTTTCTCTGAACATTTTTCTTCTTAAATTGAGGTAAAAAGCGATCCCACGATTCACTTTTTAAATTTGGATCTTTTGCGAGTTCTCGCTTGATCATTAGTTCTTTAATGTGGTAAATAGGATGTATGTTTTTCATGCAGTCGATAACTATGCGACGAATTTCTTTTAGACCTTTGTAAGGGCCCATAGTAGAGACTGTATTTCCTTGAATCATAATATAGCATGTAGTTAAAAGTTCAAGCGCCTGTTGGGGGGAGGTGAATATAATATACAATAAATTATTAATTGGTTTCGTCCTCAAGCTTCTGTGTTGATATATGTTCATAACAATCCACACTCTTATCCTACCTTTAATGTTGATCCATTTGGCCCAATGAGCCTCTGTCTTCTCTTGACAAAACGTTCTTTGTTCCTGACAATCGTCCCAATTTTAATGATATCACACGCAACACCATCCTCTAGAACTTTGACGGCCTGGTCACAAATAGAAGGTAGCAAAGAAAGTAAGAAATTTCGTTCAATGCATGCATACACACACTTCTCCGGAAATCAACAATACCTGAGGAAAGGGAACACTTCGCGCAAGGAGCTTGATCAAATCGCGGGACTTCAATATAATATAAGGATCATATGTTTTCCTTGTGGTCTTCACGGTCATACTGCCCTCAACCAAGTCCAAAACACATGCAATACCCTATTCCGATTGTGATGACAATTAGAATTGAAGCAGTAAATAGCATGTATGCTTAGATTGCCTTACAGCAACCCAAATATAGAGTGAGCATATAACGAATACGCATAAAACGGTACAATACCACTTTTTCTAACGCTACTGTTACATGAGGCCAAACTTCTTTCAAATATGCTTCGCGGTATTTAGGAAATAATGTGGCAAACGAAGATTCTTCAGTAAAAGGGCCAGGATTGTCTTCCGGACGGAATTGCTCGATTTTCCAGTGATCGATATCGTCAGTGTCCCATGCTGGTAAGTAGAAAAATCGATTAAACCAAATGCTAAGATCAGTATAAAGTGCCGAGAGTGTAAAAAATATTACATACGAATGAATTCGGGAGTGTGATCTGTTATTACTCACGTTTGTCTTTTCTGTACTTGCGCTTCTTCGATTGAGGTTCGGAGCTGCCAGCTGCAGCTTGACTTCCTAATCAACAAAGAAGTATGTCAGGAATTTCTAAATAACTTTATTTATCGGATTGTTATATAGCTAACCTTCTGCCATGTTACTTTGATTTAGATCGAGTCTCGCGGTACTTTTTTGCACTCATGTGACTTTTTGGTGACATCATTGCACTTTTGGCAAGTCTTTTTTTGCTGTTACACGTCTATCGCTCTTTTAGACTAGCTCCTATTTACATATTTCCTAATAAAGAATCATGTTCTAAATCGAATTAGGGCCTTGATGCCCCGATCAAATTTGGAAATCGATGATAAAAATGGAAGTTATTTGGTGGGGGGTATTTAAAAAAAATCCTTGACATCGAATCAAACAGAAATGCTAATTCTATATCAATTTTATTACTTCTGTTACTATGAAGCTTTTCCGGCTGATAGATAACATTATCATTAACAGTATAACAGCCTCATACGGGAGGGCGTTATTTATGCGCGTTGCTTAATGTCACACATGAATTTTATCACATTTATCCGCATAACGATAAAGTTTGAGAGCTGATGCCCCTACTTAGTACGACTTCCAAATTTGATAGCTATTGAGAAGGCCCTTACACACACACACACACACACATATGTTTATATCAATATTAATGCATCGTCTTTGCCTACTTGTTGATTGTGAGAATATTGTTATTGTAATGACTAATAAAATATTTATTAACTTGAGCATTACTATCATAGCAAGCTGTGCGTTAAGACTATAGTAAAAAAGTAAACCGTTTAGTAAATTTTTTGCGGATAATAATAAACTAACAAGATTATAAAGCAGAAGTTTCTCGATTTAGCATGAAACGTTAAGAAAAATTTGCAATCAATGCCGTGAAACAAAAAAAAACATAAAACTCTGCTATGATCTCAGCAAAATGAGTTAATATTAAAGTAACTGATTAGATCTATAGTGAACGATGACAATAACAAACTTCAGGAAAACGATAATCCAGCTATTGAACTTTAATGCACTTTGAGTATAGAAGAATTTTAACGAGAGTCGTTAGTTAGAAGATGTTAGATCGGGTCTTTCTTATGTCTTCGATAAATCGGTTTTTTGATAAGTCGGCTTATCGAATATTCATGGACGCATTACATTAATAAAATATACCGTATTTGACAACTGGCGGGAGAAGTAATTCTCCTGCGGCTGTATTTAATTGCTAACTTTGAAGTCAAGTGCGCAATTCTTCGCGTAGGAATTATTTGGACCTGCGTTGAATTGGGTTTAGCGACGACGATGAGCGTCCCGATTAGCCGAATATGCAAAATTACTTGTTTGACAAGTATTATCGATAATACACATGTCACACAATCCATCCGAAAAAACGATGCGGTTATATGTAACATATCAATATCAATAGTAGGCATTACTACTATTTCTCCGGAGAGAATCAAGGCTCCATCAAGCAAAGATTTCCCGAGCGCCATTTTCATTACAGTCCCACAATTTCAGCACTTGTACATCTCGGACCCCCCTATTTTTTGAACGCTCCCACACCAGCTGCAAGTTTTGGAAGTATAGGCCTCATTTTGGATAATAACACGGACCCATAATTCTTCTGCTTTGGCCACCAGGCGTTGGCGAAATTGATAGTGCCCCAACAGAGCATTTTGCGAACGGTTTTTCGTGTTATCCTTCTTGTTTTTCGATTTGACACCTGATGATAATGGCTTATAAATTCTTACCAATTTTGACCTATGTTTAGGATATCTATTACTGTTATTGGATGTTGGCGCAGAGGATGGCGCTTGGCGCAGGCAGTTTTCATTAAATACAATGAACCACACTTGTCCAATGAACGTTGCAATTGACACACAATCGGTCAAAGATCCGCCAGCTTTTATATCTTTCGTATACAGACGGCACATGAACTCTTCCGTGTATATGGTTAATAACAGTGATTGGCCATACCAAAGTTATCCCGATATTAGATACTTGGATATGTGTTAGCTATGAAGATCACTTATCCAAGAAAGGAAATACTGTAATACTGTAAACATGTAAAAAAGTTCCTTTTTTTTTCTGCAATTGAGCTCTGGCGCACACTTGAGCGCCGTTATGATTGACACATCAATAGAACTAGTGCTAGATCTGTTTTTGTTGGAAGAAAAACCCTGTGATATCCAGAGTGTGACGGTATAGTAATTGCAATAAAAAGAAACGTAGCGCAAGGCGTCACGAAAATGTAAAATTTAACGGCAAAGTTGCACGAAATACTTGCTGATCATTCACTACATCTGGAAACAGGGCTCATTATTTTCGACCAAACCTTCATTTCTCCTTCCCACAACGTTCTTTTTCCTTCCTATCTCTTCCATTTGTTATTATATTATTTCATACTATCACTCCTAATGGCGTTGGTCAACGACCCAAACCAGTTACATTCCTTAGAAAATAACTCGCACCAGCAAGGATCGACTTTAACGTCCGAGAGACCTTATGTTGATGCTTTTTTGGTGAGCCTCTCCCTCTCTTTCTCACATTGTCATAATGAAAGCATATATTGAGATTCGATTAGGTACATTAATCGTTTGCTTGTAGAACGTCGAGCGTCCAAAAGATGCTTTCGATATAATTCAGAATAGAATGAGAAAAGCAAAGATTTTAAATGAAGAAATAGCAGACTATTTTCGTGAACGGTATGCTATGTATGCGAATCATGACAAGAAGAATAATCATTATTCTCCTATTCGTATTGATAATATTGGACAACTTGTAGAGCACTGGTGGAAGACCATTACGTAAAGGGCCTTCAAAAACTATCCAAGAAGATACCTGTGACGGAAAGATCAGCATTAGGGTTAGTCAACAACTATATCCATTTCAAACGCCGCCCCGCTTTTTCTGCATTCCGTTTTTGTAAATTTTAATTCTATTGTATTGATTGGTTGATAGCAATTTTACGTCTGTCTGGGAATGTCTTCATGGTGAACTCAACGAAATAGCCAGCATTCATTCATCGTTTATGAAAAAAATTAATGAAGAGGTCGAGACACCCATACGAAACATAAGTACTTCCGACGATTGGGTGAAAGTAAAAGAAGTATGCTGAACGTTTGGGAGGGAGGTGGATTGCACGTTTATGCTACCTTACTAAAAATTGACGCCATTTTGTCAATGTAGTATGATACCAGTCTATTAAAAATAGTCAAGGAGTGGGAGGAGAGATCGCAAAAAATGCACAAGGTGAATTATTCTCGTTTTGATAATCCCAGTCTCTTGTCTGTAAATTTTTACTGACATATTATCGACTTATTCTAGCATAAGATAAAAATAGAAAAATCGGCTGGAAAGAAATCACAAGCTCTTGGTAAATTAAACGAGCATCCGGATATCGAGATACAACATTTTTTGTTGGCCAATGTTTTCCTTTCGACTAATCATTCCATGCTACTTGGCAGATAATCAGAGGTTGGACGATGCCCGTAAGGCACTCGATGATACAACTGTTCGCTGGCTAACAATTGCTGGTGAGCTATTGCCGGTTAGTTTCTGAGATAATACATTAGGCCTTTTATCCCGGTTATGATAAGAGTATATGCTTACCAATCCCTATCAATATAGCGTTACCAAGCTTTGGATGAAACGCGATTACAGAACCTCCAAGAAAGCATTGTCCGATTTGAACTTAGTCAATCGGAAATTTGCAGACGACTGGAAGAAGTAAGAAACTTGTTACTGTTTTTTAATTTATACATAGTCTTCTCATTGATATATATATATATTGTTTATTGTTAGGTTGCTGACAGAACTATGAAAGAGGTAACTGAATTCGAAGTAAAACAAGAAATCAGTCGATTCTGTACAACTCGGTCTCGCTCATTTACAGGTATATGATTAACATTCCGCATGATTTACAAATACGTCGTTATTCATATGTTATCGTGTGTAGGGATTAATACGGATGAGTTGACGCCGCATGCAGGAAATGGAGGTGAGTATTCCACAATACGTAAGCGGGATTATGATGCAATACTACCATATTAATCAACTTCTCCACAGTGAAGTTTAACTTTGATGTGATGAAACGTAAATCACGAGCGGTCCCGTCCATCAGGGATATCCAGTAAGAAACCAAAGTCTACAATATTTCGCTTTTATTGATAGTCATCATTGATCCTAATTCAAATTTGTTTTTGCATACAGCGACTCTTCATATACCAAGTTTGAAAATTTTACAGAAGAACACAAGCCTGATGAATCGGTGAGCTCACCTGCGACAAGTGAGCATACCCGCGAAGTACGAAAAACCGAAAGCAACAACCAATTGGTAAATCTTTATATATTAGATGAATCTTTATGATTTATGTAAATAAAAACACTCAACACACGCAACGTTTTATGCCATCAGCCAAGAGTAATAGTCGATGCAGAAGGCTATTCCGTTCCACCACCAGATACGAAACCATGGGAGACGTCTTCGCAGGGAGTATCGGAGGGGCAAGATTCTGACAGTCGATCGGATACAACGAGGTAAGCGTATAGACCATTTGAGATTGATAAAGGTTATCAAATTGGCGTTGCTTGATTGTATACATTGTTTGCTAAAAGCACAATGCAGACGGAAAAAATACACGTCGATATCAAGCCAGAAACTATTCGTGAGCAGGACGAGGAAGAAAATGCACGAGCCCTGACACGCGTGAAAACACAATTACTATCAGTATGGACAAGCAATCAATTACTCGTAATTGCCTTTGCACACGCAATTGTGTGATTAAAACTCTTTTCATTCTTTCTTAGAAATCTCAGAGCAGCTTGAACGGTCGACGACATCGCAGAAGAGAGTAAGAAGGCTTTTATCATTAAACCGATATGTCATATATAGCAATAACTTATCCCATGCTCTATATTTTCCAGGGGATTGCGACATCTTACAGGCTTTACCGACAGCATGTACTTTGATTCTAGTGATACTCCAACAACATTCGAGCGTAACGGCAGTCAATTCGGTAGTCCTGAATCGACGTCACCCACTTCGTCTGAATTTACAGATGTCATGGGCCGTTCCGCTTCCCTCCACTCTGATGCCGACTCGCCTACTCTGCAAGCCAGTATATCCGAGACGCTAAGCGTAATGTCTAAAGGCGGCGAAATAGTTAAAATCCTCATAACTGGTGAAATAAACGTTCGGTGCTTGCATTTTCCAGCACGAGACAACATTGCGCCATTCAAACTCAAGATTGCAAATCTCGAAACACTCGAAAAGGCCGTGCCGAATGCATCGTATATGAAACCGGCAGCCGAAGGAACGGGAGAATTCGATGTCGACCCGGGTATGTTGGCTTTGTCGGGTGGTAAACCGGTGACATTGTTGAAATATCAAGTTCGTAGTAATGTAGAGGACAAGACTGCATTCACTCCGTTTACTGCTGTGCTTAAGTGGAAATTTGATGAAAAGACAACTTCGGTGGTCGTTGCGTATCGTAAGAACGAAGCATGTCACCTAACGGGACCAGTGGAGTTTTCAGTCTTGGTACCTGTCAACACAGAAGTAGGCTCGGTACACGCTCGTCCGCTAGGAAACTGGAATCCAGAGACAAAGAAAATGTATTGGCAAATAGAAGGGTTTGACCTGTCTCAGCCAGCAGACTGGAAGACTATTGCTGCACAGTTTGAGACTGAAGAACATGCAAAACCTGCACCTGCAGCAGTGAAATTTTTAGTAAAGGGACAATCGTTGAGTCAGATTGATTTGCAATTGGTGACTAACGCTCAAGAGGAGGATGGTCGACAAGCTGTAATTTTAGAAGAGGTGGCGCGGCAGGTGTCGAGTGGAAAGTTCTTTGTTGCTCCTTAGAGTCTATGATACTATTTAATATTTACGTTATATTTTTGGTTTGCATTTTGCTTTTCTTCTTTCCTTTCTTTTATTTTTTTCCCCCCCTTCCGCCCATGGTGGGCTGAGATTTTGGATATCTGGCTTGCGAATTGGGTCCAATAGACAATTATCATAGATTTGGTATTCTTACATTCATAATCTGCGCATTTTAATTTGCAAATTTTATTTAAGCATTAAAAATAGCTGTTTTTTTTCCTCTCAAAATTCATACCGGGTAGTAAGGACGTAAAGAAAGATGAATGAATTGTGTGTTTGAGTCGAGTGCGTGACTGGCACGCTATTCACGATCTTGTTAATATTGTTACAAGATCTTTGTTTGAACTTGTCGTTCGGTATGCTGTTTACATGATATTTCTTTAATTCTTCCACCTCAATATCAACAGACATTTGGGGGTCTATATAGCCCCGCCTAGTCTCATGCAATCCCTCCTGTCATCACAGGTCCTTCCCTTTGTTTCCTTTTTCTTTTATATGCATTAAAATATCCTTGTCATACTTTTCTGTTGTCTTTTTTGAGACACATGAATACGTGTATTTTGTGCTATTGCGCAAAGTAACGGCCGATAAAAAGTATTGGTCTTAAAATAGGGGACATTATGCAGAAATGTTGTACGTAGCACCGGATGAACTGAAGGCTGGCAAGTCACTAAGGAAGTAGTTTGAGAGGGTTTATGCCATGACAAATCTTTGGTTGCTGAGCCAATACGTGTGGGAAGGCTACATAGAAAAGGTGAAAAATGACCCAAAAGCGCATCCGTTTTCGATGTCATTTTAATAAAAATGTGCAACCAAGTTTTCGTAGGCTCATTTACGATTAGTAGACCATTATCATTTGAAAACTGTAACATAAATAACAGTAATACAACTATTAATTCTTTTCTTCAACGTGAAGCAGAGATCCATTTTAGTATGACTATTACTATTTACTTGTTTACTTGCTTGGCTACATAATTTTTTTTGCTCAAAATGAATCTGGGTGTATTGATAAAGATCTTGAGAGAGCAGAGCTTTGCAAAGCGACATAGACTAAAACTGCTAGAGCGAGAAAATCTCGACATTCTGCGAGTATATTGCGATTGAATACTCGTTGTGGAGACATAAGAAGTATGACCTTGCATGGTACGACTTTGGAGAACACAAGCGAGTCGCGAAAGATCTTCATGAAAATCATCGCTGAAGTAGGACAACCCAATTTTGGATGTATAAACTAAGCTAATACTAACATGTAAGAAATAAATGACAATGTAAATGACAATGAACTAAACAATTCAAGGGTTAATACCGTTAGACTGTGTTAATGTTAACTTGGTTAAAATTGACACATTCTAGCAGGAAATATATATGTGACAACGTTAGAGCATTACGGACAATTTGGATGCGATTGTGAAATTTATTAAACAAAGCTAATTCGACCGAATATTTTCTAGAACGCTAGTTAATACTTGCAAGCTTTCATATTGTCGATCAGTGACGCGACTTTTTCAGCCCCCAGTTGGCTCATCCCAACTTCCCGTTTCATTAAATTAAAAATGGTATGGGAATGTTTATGATTATTCCTTATTTGGAGAACGATACAAATGCGAATGTAAACAAGTACGGAAATATTAAAGTAATCATCAACCAGTCATTATGATCGACAGACACTCTTCCATTCGCATCTGGTGCGCAAGTCTCGTATATAATGAACGACGCCACAACAATGACACTGCCTGCATGCATATTCTCATCGAAGGAACAAAACATGCGTAATATCGAAGATGCAGGCCTGACCTATTTTCTTTCATAAATATGGGCAAGATCGTCATTTTCATCGTCTATTCACGTGATGGTAATATCGCTTCTATAAACCGTTAATCATTCCCTTGACGCTCAAAACTCGCATGAAGTAAATATGACATTTAATGGCATGTGTCACTCTCCTTTGCTAAAGAACGTAGACGGTTCAATTATATTCACTTTTCCTGTCTTGTCAGTCTCTTAACAATATTAAATATACTGATCTCCAAGACCAATCTGCTATTATTGTCAAATACAACAATGACAATTACTTTCGAATCACACACTTCTGAACCAAAAAGACCGACATCATTCCCTCAAATATCTCTTCTATTCACATCCCCAATATCCTACTTTACATCCGTATTAAGATATTTATTGATCCAAATACTAAAACAGGGTCCTGTACCGCAGCATGTTGGGTTTGTAATGGATGGAAATCGGCGGTTTGCAAAGAAGATCAACGTGCAGACGGGCGAGGGTCATTATTTGGGTTTTAAGAAGCTTGAAGAAGTAATTATACGTTAAAACTTTATACTTTTGATAAGACTTGCAAGAAGGTTACCCAACAAAAGGAGCCTTTTCGTTAATGGTATACTAATGATTGCGTTTATATAATTTCTCTGTAACATCGCCTAGACTCTCGATATATGTTTACAACTTGGGATCAAGGTTGTTACAGTTTATGCTTTCAGTATTGAGAACTTTAAGCGACCAAAAGAAGAAGTACAGGCATTGATGGAATTGGGAAAGGCAAAGTTGATTGAACTTTGTGAGCATAGGTGCGTGTAGTGTGTATAGATCATTTGGAGTTTTGCGTTCCTTTATTAGTTGCACCTACGATTGAACGCTAAAGGTGCTCTGGATAGATCATTTGGACGTGTTCATGCTACTATATTTTGAATATATGCTAAGGACCGTTACGAGTAAATAGTTTGTTCTGATATCTGTTCTTTTCCTTATCCACCTGCAGCGACGTGGTTCGGAAGTTTGGAGTGCGCGTACGGGTAATCGGAAACGAGTCTCTACTGAGTTCTGATCTACGTGATATCATTAATAAAACAAAAGAAACTACAAAGGATAATTACGAGTAAGACGAATGAACTTTTACATTTGATACGTCAATCAATAATCTAATTGAAACGAAAGTAACGTTTTTTTACGATATTAGGGCAATATTGAACATCTGTTGTCCTTACACTTCACGCGACGAAATAGCTTCTTCGATCAGAGGTGTGGTCAATAAAGCACAACAGGGCGAAATACAAATAAGGTAGGTCTTTAATTGTTCAGAAATACGATATTATCATGATATACGGGAGGGCTAAGAGTATTTCTTGAATTTTCTAGCGATATTACAGAAAATATCTTGGAAGATAATCTCTACACAAGTGAATGCCCTCCACTCGAAATACTTATTCGCACGTCTGGAGAGATCCGTCTAAGTGACTTTTTACTGTGGCAGGTAAATAAGCAAATCCATGTTTAAAATTTCCACCTTTCAGAACTCTTTTCTAATCATTTGCATATATACGTTGCAGAGCCATCAGAATTGCAGTATTCGTTTTGTTGATTGTTATTGGCCCGAATTTTCTATATGGGATATGTTACCAATATTTTTGGAGTACCAGCAAAATCGCCAACGGAAATGAAAAAGATAAGGGCCTATGACAGCCGTTTATTTAAGTAATAGAATAAATCGCACACCTAATTTAATAAATACTATTTGGCAAGTTTTCTTCAGTATCGTCGTTGCCGCTGTTGTTCTTTTTAGTGTTGATTTCAATACAACGGCGGCCGGCCTTGTGTGTGAAGAGGGAGAACCTGTAAATAGATAGAAAAACGACAACGGTTAGATTATCTCGTTTCGGCAAGATTAATCCGTTGACTTACTTACATTGTAGCCGGTTGGATCTAAACCGTATTCCCAATGCTAGACTTCAACCTCGGCTATAATAGTATACACGATTAAAAAGAGTGTAAGATAGTATAGAGTCACAATTTGATTACCAAGTCGACTTGGTCATCTCAATACAAATATACCCACGAACTTTCTTTACGCTTCTGGGTAGACGATCCCGAATTTGATGTCACTCCTTCATTCGATGGTTGAGGCAAACTCGTCAAGTACCTATTAATCTTGTTAATACAAAATTGATCTTGCTTCCTTTACCTTAAAATCTTAAACCACACCTCAATTTACTTTTCACTTTTTATCGCAAACTCACCTCAACATCTTCAATCGTGTCCGAGCAGGCGACTATATAAATAGCCCACGACCAAAAGTTTTTTTTTGGCATTAAAATTCTACTCCATCAAATCTAAACAGATAAATCGATACTATTCATACCTCTCCACTCGCAATAACATGCATAGTCAAAACAGAATTCTGGTGTAGAGCCTTGGCAGCACATAGTCTGGTCTCTTGTTCTTCATTATCATTTCTTTGGGACCGTAAGCTAGGCGGAGGATGTGATTCGGGAGGTGGCGACTCTGCTGCTGGAGAATCAGTCATTGAGAAAGTCTCGCCTGAAATTGACGAAGTTTCGGCTGGTGAATCCATTTTTTTGGCGGACGGGGCACCGTGGGAAATTGACATTTATGCGCCACATGTGGTGACCAAACATCAATCGCAAATAAGAATTTACTTGTACTCTTTTTTATCCTATACTATTCATCCAATGCGACCGCTGTTTATATGCCAAGATAATAATATATAAACAATGTAGTAAGAAAATAAGGATAGCAATACAAATTCCATCATCAGTGGTTTCTTGTCAATTCCAACGAACTGTGGAGCATTGATGGAGTCAATTGATACTATTGATTCAAAATAATTAACGAAATAATATTTTCTTTGCATAATAATAATGCATTATAACGTTGTAAATCAATTTTATGGTCCGTGATGTTGGATTGATGTCAAAAATAAATCCAATGTACTTACTACCGTAGAGCTCTGACTAAAGGACCCGGGGTACTTTACAAATCCTGTAATAACTTTACTCGGGGGGTACTATGGACAGAGTATTATGTATCCGTGTAAAGTATCCGGGGTACAAAATTATATTTCTCAAATTTTGCTCATACTTATTGGTTTGTTAACAACAGTTCCAGCTGCACAATCAATCTATAGCACACTGACACTCATCTATTCTATTCTATTCTAGATCACTCTATGACACTCATCTTCTATGCTTGGGGGATTAATGCGAATTGTCATTGGTTATTATAAGCCACGTGATATGTAATCATCGAGTTTTCTGTACCCGGGTCTTTTACAAATATCCATTGCTTTATATGGTGGGGGGGGGGGTACTTTACACGGGGGTACTTTAGTCAGCGCTCTACGGTACTTTGTAGGGAGGAGACAATTAACTTAATAATAGTATAAACCAAGTCATTTAGTAATACCGACACGTAAAACTATCAAATTTTGCGTTTTATTCGATAAACCTTAATAGACGTAATTCATGTATTGTGGTAACAGTTTCGGTCTGGGCTTTAATCAAATCAATAATCCATATGTGAGCGTACTGATAATAGACAACAATTCTTAATTTGTAATAAATAAATTATATAATAAGACTGGACATCATTATTTGAAAATAACTGTATCTTTTCACATAAACTAATGTTTACTTATTTTCCAATACTGATAATGTTTCAATTTATTTTTTGCGGCAACACATCCTTGTTCAACTGCCTTCTTAGCATCTTTTTCTACTCCAATCCCATAGTGATAGCAAACACCAAATGCACCAACATTCCCTTGCTTAACTGCTTTTGGATATACTCCAACTGCCCCCTTAGCATCCTTTTCTACCCCAAATTTATGTTGATAACATTGTATTGTGCAATAGCATATCCTTGTCTAGCTGTCCTCTAATATAATTTAACTGCGATTTTATTATTCCAATCCCATAGTAATAACAATCCCCAAGATCATATGTGCAACAGCATATCCTTGCTCAGCTGCTTTTAATATAATTCAACTGCCTTCTCGGTATAATTATAATGTGAATAAACTTGGCGGAGATAATTGCTGATCGATTCCGTTTATTCCTTCATCAACTGTATAGTATTCCTTATCAGAGCTTAGATGTAAAAGCATCCTCGCGGAACGAGTCTTACACTGCTCTTGACGTCTCGTCTTAATCATATTTTTTTATGCCGAAATTAATGTCAAAATATGTGGACATGTTTGTCGCCGTGAAAAATTCTGTATTTATGAAAAAAATTTTAGTGACGTTCATGGTGACACTTTTTACATCTTTTTGGGGTCTTTTGGCTATTTTATTCATTTCTTGATTATATTCTTCACATAAAAATAAACTTTTACATAGAAACTCATGGTGTCATGATAAAAATACAAAAAACTAGTTGACTTTGTCACTAGGTTTTTTTGTCACCATGAAATCAATGGTGACAACTTTTTACGCATGAAGCTTGCGCATAACCATTTCTATCTGATAAAACCAACATCACTATGTATTTTCTTTGATTCCATTTTGCGTCATCTTCTCTAGTTTTTTTCGTTGATAATAATCTTTAAACCGATACTTGCCGGAATAATCTCTACATGCACAAAACATAGAGAATGTCAACTTACCACATTCTTTACAAGGTACACTGTCGGACTAGCTTACACCTGGGAGAGCAGCGGTGCACTAGCCGTTTTGGGTTTCCGACGGAAGCTTTCGCTCTTCCTACTTTAAACTAAATATAGTGACCTTTAACTAGGATTTATACTCACAATCTGTATACTATTGATCTTGTATACGTCCCTGGATTATTGTTTAACCTCGAGTTTCTCAGCGATTCCTGGATGGGATTAATCTCACAGTCTATCGAAACGGGGAATTTATCTAATCTAAAACTACTAGTAATAATTAAACATTAATCCTGAATGGAAAAGTACTAAATAGAATTAATTGGCAAGAATTAATTCTATTCATCGTTGACGGAAAAGCGTTTTACACTTCGCCAAGCGATGCTAAGTATCTTTTATCAGGGAATGAACAAAATAACAATTTTATAATTAAATAGGATCTTTATTAGAATAAAAGAACCATCCTAAGAGCAACGTCTTGCTGAAGATATGAATTAAATGATATAATCAGAACGATGATTTTTAGCTACTATCTACTACTACGACTCGTATTTATAACTAATTATCGTTTCACTAAACGTCCAAATTTTCGGATAAATGAGGAAGTTTGTATCTGTCCAAACTTCCAGCCTAAACAGGACAAATCTAATTTTAGTTGTCCAAACTTTTGGCTAGATAGTATTGTGCTTGTCCAAGTTTTTGGCCTAATCTGGCAATATCTGTGCCATGTCGCGAAATTACCTTACTTGGATTTGATGTGCTGCGGAATCAGAGATTTTCGCGGACTGGCGAAATTTGCAATAAAGGCTGTTATCGACCTGAGGGATGTAAAATTCATTGGAAAGCTCCTATGCGTGTTGTCAGGATCGAGGTCTAAATACGACGTATTCCCCCGTGATTTCCGAATCTATGCGAAACATAATGTTTAGTATTTATAGAGTTGTGGCTTTATGTGAAGTTTTGATGCATTTAATGAAAGCTTTCAGAGTGAGTGGTAAATGGAGTTTAGGAATATTGCGATACTGGGAACAATTTTTTTTTAATAGTTCGGCAAAGGCACTGAGAAATTCTTTACTTTCTTGGACTAATTGTTCTTTTAATCACTGGCGAGGAAATTTCTCAGCTTTATTTTTGGTTTCTTCTGATCAGGTAATCAAACTTTTGGCATCCAGAAAGTCTTTATCATTTCTTTCACTGAGAGGTGAACCAAAATTAAGACCTTCGATTTGGGCTCTTTTTTCGGTCATTAGTTTTCGCTAGTATAATGTAGTTCGTTATACGACTCGACTCAATCTAACGACCGCCGATACATTGTTGCATTGAATTAGTAATTCAAATCTAAACAACTTTCAAAAATGGTATTCTGCCAAACAATTTTCCTACACATGTCACACTTTAACCTCTTATTTCAATTCTCAACCCACGAATCTATTTTATTGTTTTATTTTCTTCCGGTTGTTCGCCCGCCTCTCCGTTAAATATGACTAGCATTAGATCAGTGCAATATACTGTAGTTTGAGGATGTTGAGAATTATTTCCTTTTCTCCTTTGCTTCTCTCAGTTCTTCCGGTACAGTCTGAGTCGATTGTTTTAAGTATGAATGAATTACATAGTTCTATAAACACAATAAAAAAATGAAAGAGTCAATGAACTATAATAATGTATCTTGCTTCTTCATATTGAATAAATCAGCATAATTTAATTGTCATGGTCATGAAGTTCCATATACCTGGTTGGACTTGTGATAATCGATTGGAATTGTTTTAATTTGGCAGTCTCGGGCCACTCATCGTTTGTTGTAGTAAGATGTAAAATCCTGTTTTACTCTTTCAAATATTACTCTCCAATTAAAAGCATATAGATAAAAAATAACTCTACCCGCGTTCTTGAATATCTTACAGATTATTTCATAAGTGCCAATTTAATTGTTATTGTTGTTATCGCCAGCTGCAGCGGGAGGCGCACCAGCTACGATATTTTCCTCTTGCGATGCCTTCTGATGGAGAAACCTTACTAACACGCCCAAGATTAATTTTGCAAACGCATCATCGAGCGGTGGAGATTCATCCCATGAGCGAAAAAGTTATATGGACATTAGCTGTTGTTGATCATTAATTTGTTTACCTCTTTCTGTGCATTACGGTAACATTTTCATTTATGTGACATAGAGGCGGAAAGTATTTGGAGAAGAAAGAGTTGAGACTACTGAAGGATTTCCATTGATAAAAACTCTTTGAGCACCATTGATGAAGGCTGATATTGCGATAGAGTAGCAGCAAGGTGGGTTTGGTCCGGCATAACGCAGTCCGCAACTCCCCTGAGAAGGAAGAATGTTCGCCTTGTGGAATGATAAATACGATTAAACTCTTGGGCGATGAAGCTGAGATGTCCATATTGAAAGGCAAAAGGCTGAGATAAAATAATATTGAGCAATTTGTGTGACAGATAACATTATTAATAAAAATTCGTTAGGTGTGAAAATAATAAACAAATTCCAATTTAGTCGATGCCCCTGCTGCCCCTACCTACTTAAGGCAATAATTTCCAAATTTGATTGGGGTATCGAGCTGTTGAGAAGGCTTGTAATTGCCTGTATTGGCAGTATTTTACGCGGCAAATAGTGTCGCCGTGTAATCAGTATTAAGAGTTACCATGTTAATGCTTGACTTTATACTACATTAATTGCAAAAGAGCGATCGTCCGATTTTCAAATAACTGTTCACTAACGACACAACGTCACGCTCGATACGTAGGCTGCAAACAATATCTGGTTGTACTTTTACTCCCTTTACTGACTTATGTCGTAGTCATATAACATGACCTTCATTTTGATCGCTTTTTATCTTGTCTAGCAAACTTTTACAAAATAGTCAGGTTTATGCTTTTTGAAGCAATTTGTCGTTTGCTTACAGAAATATTCCACCAGCACTACATTTATTTTAGCTATTCCA